AATCACATTAAACAGTAGCCTATGTTGTAGAGTTTGCTTCAGTGCATGAGCGAGTCAGTCTGAAAAATTAGCAATTTGTTTGCTAGTGAGGTCTGCAAAAGAAGGTAAGAAACAACAAGGATCTTTTTTATCAGGGGGCTGTTTTAAAATGCTTACAACTAATAAACCAGTGAGCTGAGTTATGTCAATTCTTTCTTGTGCTCCACGAGGATGTGCTGTGATTTTGGAGAAGCTAGGCTGTCTTTTTCTTGCATAAGAAAGAAGTTGAATCCTATTTTAAGTATAAATTGCAGCTTATCCTTCACTGTGGCTCCATCTCTAATTATAAATGTTCTGTGTGTGTGTGTGCACATTACACTGTATATATAACAGATCTCTTGATGGTCAATGAGATGATTCTTTTGGTTTTAGTGCATCTATTGATGGCAGCTGTGATTCCGTGGTGTTTCCATGAGGTGTTTAGGTTTTACCCAGATATCCTATATAGTTTTTTGCAGTGCCAATCCAGAGCCTAGTGCTAGATAGCCAATGCCATGATATCAAATGACCGGCTGGATGGTCCTTTATGCTGCCCTGCTTACACTGTTTCTGGATTTCTCTTTTCTACTGGGACACTTGAATGGTGGCTTGTTGCAGAGTAGAACCAAGATCTTCAAATACATCCACCTAGAGGTATTGTAGCAGCTAATGTGGATGGTTAGAGCCATGTCTGTTATGTTTCATTCAATTTAATACTGCCTTTCGTGATCGTGAGTGTCTGTCACCTAAGCTCAAATGCCCAGAGTTGAGGTTGCTCAGACGGCGAGTACACCCACTCCCTCATACAGAGCATGCAGTTGCAAGTTCTAGGCAGCTTCATGGCGCTACTTCTAAATACTCCCGTTTGTGTGTGGGGGAGAGAGATCTTCCCAATGAGTCCATCCCAAACCCCATGAATGATCTTCACTTGCTCAGGGGTCTCCTGCTCCCTCCCCACCCTGGCTGTCAGGCAACACGACTCAACACATCTGCCTGGCCAGGAAATCCTGCAGAATCCTAGAGCGCAGAGTAAAAGGGAGCAGGGTGTTGTTTTAAGACCTCTGACACAGATTCTTTGCAGGGCCCCTCTTCTAACCCCCAACCTGGGCTCCAGGAAGGGCCTGGAAATGGAGGGGGCAATTCTACAGGGATGGCTGACCCCTCCCTCCCCCACTTCCAAGCAGGCTTATGGGAGATACAATCCACTCTCAAGTCTGGGGCAATGATTTGATTGTGCATCCAGGAGGTGGGTTCTGCCCATTCCCCACTCATGGGTAAAAGAAGCAGACAGTGTCATTCAGAATTGTGCACGTACATTTGTATCCTTTCTGTTTTATTCTGGTGAGGTTTTTCTACTGTGCCCATCATTGTGGTGTGCAGTTGCCTTCCAGTAGTGCCTTAATGGACATGTCTCACATGCAGTTTTTTCCTTGTTTCTTTCTTCCTCTCCACAGGGGGAAAACTGCTTGTAGACTCTCATGTCAAGAATTTTTACTTCTGCAGCCTGTGCTCAGTTTTCTCTAGTGTAGGGCAGGTCTGTGTATTGCCCCTTGTATTTGGAATGGAAGGTGGTGGTTTGGTCTGTGTGCACCTGGACCATCCAAATCCTTGCACTGGAGCAGGAAAATCCGCTCAGTGGCTTAACACAGGGCTTTTAAGTGTATGTCAAGTGAGCAGCATTTGAAAATCTACCCTTGTGTAATTTACAGCCTTCTTTGTAAGACCAAGTCAATAAATGTGTATCCTGACTTTGTGGGCATAGAGCTTACTAGGGAATAAACCCTAAGCCGGGCCTTTTATGTGGGATTGCAACCATCCTGAGAAACACCAGGCATTCTGTACTCTCGAAAGGCTACACAAATCATGCTGGCAGGGGTATGATGCAGCTAATTTATCTCTAGAGACAAGATAATATTGCACAGCAAGTGTCTGTTGCACAAACACCTATTAACACACATCTCATTCTGCAACAGTGTCAAAATCTCAGTCCTCTCAGCAATGTTCACAACTGCCTGCCAGCTCACCAGTTTTAGGTTCACGTAAAGAAAGAAGAACGCCAGGCCGATGCAGGCAGTGTGAGTATGTATGCAGAAATTTATTTTGGGTGTCACATATTCCACTAATTATTCTACACTGAGAAGATTGCTTCTCCATTATTTTTTGATGTGCATGTTTTTCTTTCACAGATGCTTTTTTAATGCTGCACTAAATCAATCCATCTGGTTTGCATTCTTTAGGAATCTTAACCTGAAGTGAAGAGTGCAGCGTTTATTTACACCTATTGCAAACATTTTCATCCTATCTGCCTAATGCGCTGGACTTGGGGTTTCACTACTCGAATTAATTACATCACATCACACACTGATTGTATCAGAAGGATTAAAATGATTAACCACAACACTTTGATATGGCAACAGAGTTTCTCTGCAGATGTGAATCCTTGTTTAATAATACACTGAAAACCAGCTTTTGCTCTCTTAATAGAGAGCAACACAAGGATGACTCAGAAGAAAAGTGCAAAATGCAACACATTGTACTTGTTTATAAACACATTTAAAATTCCAAGTGAACAAACAAGTAAGAAAAGTAAACCGTTTTTGAAACGTAGAAATGCACTATGA